GCTTTGTTAAATCCTTATATGAAATTAGGAGGTCCTCATTTTTTGTATGAAACTGTTTATAATAGTTTAGCACTTAAAGATGAAGAATTGTCTCAACTTCCGGAAATAATAGCCTCAATTAGAATAAATGCTCAAACTATTTTTAATACTTATCAAGTTGCATTAAATCATGCTAGACCAAATGTTCCAACTCATTCTTCTTCTGATTCTCAATCATCTAAAAGAACTGCGGGAGTAAGAGCACTTAGTGCTTGGGCGGGGTTTAGGGGTTCTCAAGGTTCTAGTAGTAGTGATTTTTCACAACTAAATGAGCTTGAAGTTTATTTGTCGTAGGGAATTGAGGAAGTGAATCCCGACGGTTCCTTTAATCTTTTGGTATGGTGGAAGGACAAAGAAAAACACTTTCCGGTTCTTTCAAGGATGGCCCGAGATATTTTAACTATTCAAGCTTCAACAGTGGCATCACAGAGCGCTTTCAGTCAAGCAAGACTTCAACTCGGTGATTATAGATCGTCTATGAGGGAGAGTTTGAAAAAATCAGTACTTTTCAGAGATTGGATCCGGTCAGAAAGAAGAAATTTTAGACTTGTTGAATCACAACCAGATGAAGACGAAGCTTACGAAGAAATACTAGCTGAACTTGCGGAGGATGTTGCTTCGCCCGGAAGTGGCGATGACCAAGCAACTTTTCCGCCACCGCCAACGGAAATTTCTCCGGACCGTGATAGATTTATGAAGTTTGTAAGAGATACCATGTAACTACAAAAATTAGTATGTATTATGTAACTTATATTTTGGCACATCTTGATTAGTTTCTTTTTCTTCTCAATGGTGGTATTAGCACCTTGTTGTGCTCATTCCCTTGCTCATTCCCTAGGGGGATGAAGACTAAGAAAGATATTGCCATATTTTTTAATGCTATAATAAAATTACAAGGCATATCTCTTTGCAATATTTTTGTCTTTAGACTTAGATATTATTTTTAACATCCTTTTGTCTTTAGATGTATATATAGCTTATCGAATATAACTTTTATATATATATATATATATATATACACACATCTTATATATATACTATATATACATTTAACATATATACTATACTATATATACATCTTACATACTATATATAAGATGTATATATAACTTATCGAATATAGCTTATATATATATATATATACTATACTATATATACATTTAATATATACACTATACTATATATACATCTTATATATAGTATATAAGATGTATATATAGCTTATCAAATATAGCTTATATATATACTATACTATATATACATCTTATATATAGTATATAAGACGTATATATAACTTATCGAATATAGCTTATATATATATACACATCTTATATCGATATACTATATATACATCTTATATATATTTTATATACTATATATACATCTTATAGCCCACTTAGCCCGTTTAGCCCGGGACCAAACAGTCCCGGTCCCGGGCCGATCCTTAGAAAAAGTCGTAGGCCCGTTTGGCCCGTTTAATTTGGGTCGGGCCTGAGACCGTTTGGACCGGCCCACTTAGCCCGTTTAGGTCCGGGACCAGCCCACTTGCCAGCCCTATTTAAAAGTGGCTACCCGATATTATTTTCACTCACTCATCCTACCTTGTACTACAATACAATTTTAGCCACAAACGCCTTCTGGAATAGACAACAGTACCTCAAATCTCAATTCGATCCTGGATATACCTTATTGGGCCTTCCTCACCTAGCCCAAAAATACATCCCGATTGTGATGAGAAAACTTCATACTCCCAAAAATCAATCTCTCTCTCTCACACACACACACACAAAAACATACACAAACACACACGTACACACACTCTTTCACGTGAAGAATTGAATATTCAGTAGGTAAAAAAGGGAGTAAAAATTATATACGCTTTCTTTTTTCTAGTCCAGCTATATATAATTTTCGGCAAATGGTCAAATATATCCTTGTATTATGAGAAAAAATTTAAATATACCATTTATTATATTTTGAGTCCAAATATACTCCTGTCGTAATACTATTGGTTAAAATATACCCTTCTTCTGTTAAGTTTGTCCAAGGTGAACATTTAATCCTACGTGGCACTGATATTTGATGAGGTAGATCCCACATGACATTCCACCTCAGTGCGCCCAATCTATTTATAAAAGACTAAAATTTGAAATACAATATTATTCATAGTTACGGTAATGGTGGCAATAGTGGTGAAGGGAAAAGAAATTTTAGTGGTGGAAAAAAATAGAAGAGAAGGGTAAAATGGGTTAGGGGCGCTGGGGTGTCAAGCCATGTGGCATCCACCTCATTAAATGGCAGTGCCACGTAGGATTAGATGTCCAATTTGGACAAACTTAACGAAAAAGAGGTATATTTGAACTAATAGTATAACGACATGAATATTTTTTTTTCAAACAAAGAAAAATGACTTGTATCTCCTTTTTTCAGCGAACAAGAAATAACTACAATTGCTCCTTTCACCAGATTGTGCAATTTTAGATCTAAGAATGATTCATTGGTCCAATAACTTTTATAAAAGCCTATTTTTCTGATTTTTATTTATTTTATTCATCGAACTTTTGGCTTTGAACTAGTAAAAATTGGAGTTGATGATGTTAGGCTCTAGGGTAGACCCCAACATAAAATTTTCACAGATTTCTTTTTTCTTTTAAGGTAGTAGAAGAATATGTCTATGTATGGCCGTATCTAGCCTTATGGTACCGGGCTTATCCGAATTCGGTGATTTTCACTAGGAGAATAATTTTTATATATATATATTACAAAAAAAATTACAATAAACAGAAAATATAAGCCCATATTTTTTAAAATATATTGAGTTCAAAGCTAAAAACTATTCAACCGATAGAATTTAAATCTTAAGTCCGCTTCCGTATTTAGTGATAACTGTTACCTTGTGCCTTAGCGTGGTCCACCTATAACCAAAATTGGCCCCAAAACTTATCGACAGAAATAACAAATAATGCTGAAAATGGAAAAAAAATAAATCCTAGTAAGGACAATCACTAAACCGAATAAACTGAGAGAAACACTTAAAAAAAACAGACATAGCCAACTCACATTTTAAATCAAAGAGAAGAGAAACCACAGACAACAGCGCAGCCAATTTCTAGAACACCACAAAAAAGAAAAAATTAGGAGTAGAGTTTCTCTCTTACGTGTGGACTAGTAAATGCCTACACGTGTGAAGTGTAGCTCATTTTACGTATGAACCAAGCAAAGAACTGTTCCTAGTGTACACACATACATTACATAATACGTTGACACCTCAAAAGTCAATCTTCTATTTTTCCACCGATTATTTGGTACTCCACTTAAAACTCAACAACTAATGGTACACCTCCCCTCACCTAATTATATCCCCCTCTCCTTTTTATCTTCCGTTTCGAATTAGCAGCCTCTATAATCTCAAACCGACGACCACACTTTCCACCTTTTATACCAAACAAACGCTCTCTCTCTGCCTCTCTGTCTCTCAAACGGAACGAATTTCTTGTGTTTTGTATTTGAAACTGTGAAAAGGAATCAGAGAATTTGCAGAAGAAATGCAGGCGAGCCGGGCGTTATCACAGTCTCCGAGTTTCGAATGTTATTCCAATAGGAATCTAGCTGAAATTGCTGATAGAGTTGTTGAAGAGTTCAGGGCTGAAAATGGAACTGAAGCGGATTTTCTTGTTGAAGATGATGGAGGTTTCAGTTGCTTTGAAACTGGAAGAAATTTGAATGAGAAAGTGGAAGAGGAGGAGGATAAGGATGAGAATCACGAGGAAGAAAAAGAAGATGACGATGAATTTGAGTTTTCTTTTGTAAAAGAGTCCGAATTTTCACCGGTTGCAGCTGATGAAATCTTTGACAACGGACAGATCCGTCCAATTTACCCGATTTTCAATAGAGATTTGTTGTTACAACACAGTGGTTTCATGAACGGTAGCTCTAATTCGAATACGAACTCGAATTCGACGTCTGAGGAGGCTTCTGCTCGGCCGAGATCAATTCGGCTTCCGTTAAGGAAGCTTTTCATGGAAGAAGAGCGAGAAGCTAACTCGTCGTGCTCTTCGTCTGAAGCCGACGACCTCGAAGGGATTCCGCCGGGAACGTACTGCGTGTGGAGGCCTAAGGAGGAGGAAAAGTCTGCTGGAGGTTGTAAGAAGAGCAATTCCACAGGTTCCTCAAAACGCTGGAAGTTTCGTGATCTCATTCACCGGAGCAATAGTGACGGCAAGGACACTTTCGTCTTTTTGACTCCTTCGCCCAAAAAGGGAGGAAAAAACAAAGCAGAAAAGACGACGACTGATGCTCCAAAGGTCGCCGCAAAATCAAAGGGCGTTCCGGCGGGTGAAGGTTACCCGGCGATGCATTACGTGAAGAACGGAGGCGAGAAAAGGAAATCCTACTTACCGTACAGGCAAGATCTAGTAGGCTTCTTTGCTAATATGAATGGGTTGAGCCGGAATGTACAGCCATTCTGAGGTGAATACGCAATTAAGGTCTTTATTAATTACGATTAAGTAGTTGATTTTGATGGTTTTATTTTTGAAGTGATTAAATTAGGCTTAGTCGCTTAGAGTGTTTGTAAATATGTGGATAAGTTTTGTCTTCATCTCTGTTGATGGATTATGAATGAATGATGGTAGTATTTTCTTCCATTGATCGATCTTGTGAGTTATATAATGCATTGATGATTTGTAAAGTGGTTCGTCTCTCCCCTTTACCTTTCCGTTTGTTTTGCCTTCTCCCGCTCATATTCATATGCAAGAGAAGGCAGAATCTTTTGTGGGACCTGAAATGCGTGTCACCTGCATTCTCAATATAATTGGAATAGAGGAAGAGTTAAAAAAGTAAGTACTTGATACTGTTATACCAATATCCAATCTGGAATAATTTTCTTTTAGGAGTGAAGAGATTTAATCCTTGTTAAGTTGATTTTCCGCGAGAAAATCAGTTGATCTATATTACTCGAAATCTTATGGTGTTCGTTAGTGGTGGCAAACGGGCAGATCGTGTCGGATATGGGCGCGAGTCGAAAATGGGCAATGCAAACGGATAATTTATCCGATCGATTCATATTTAATACGAATAGAAAATGGGTTAACACCAGTTAACCAGTGTTGTGACCAAAAACACTCACGCAAGTATATATGGTCGTCAAGTAATAAAGTAGTGAGTAGAATATCGTTCCCACGAAGACTTATGATTAACTTTTGACTAATTCAAACTCAAAAAACTTATCGATTCAAGAGATTTCTCACAAAATATATGTGACTAATTTACTACCTAAAACTATCAAGCAATGAAATAACTAGAAATCAAACACAACACTTAAGCAATTTTGGATAACAATTAGTAGGAGAGGATATTCCAGGGTCATAGACTAGCTAACAATCATGTTGCGTTCTTGGCTTAAAATGACTAATTGATTTATTTGGATTGTTGATTGACAGGGTTGATATTACTCATAAGAATCTGTCGAGTTCTTACTCGCCTATTTAAGCTAACTTAATGCCTATATATCTATGGAATTAAGATTAACAAGAATGCATTTATAATTCCTATATTTCAATCAAGCAAGGCAATTAGATATATGTCTATCCTAATTGCGAATCCATTCCCCGATGCCCAAGTTCAAGAACTTGCTCTATTTAATTCGATATACAATCTAGAATTCCCACTTTCGAGTTCAACTCTAGATTCGTAGATAGTATTTCACTATTAGCTACTCAGCAAAATAATTAAAAACAGAATCAAATAAACAACCCAATATGATAAACTCAAACTTGTCAAATTAAACTTCAAACATCAACATTCATGTACCACCCATGACCCCAGAACAATAGGGTTCTTAGCCACTCATGTTCATACAATCATCAGAAATAATATTTTCAAACATAAAATCAATGAATACTAGAAGAAGAATGGAAGAATTAATCAACTCCGTGCTCCCGAGTGTTTCGTTCTTTTGCTCTCCTCTCAAAGTCACGTCACCCCCTCAAAATCATGTTTATTTGTGTATTTATATCGTGTAAAAATAACCCCGGACAAATATACCCTTTCCAAGCCGAAGTAGGAATTACTCTGCGATTTTTGCACGCACACGTCGTGCCCCGCGCCGTACCCTGCGGCGCGTTTGTGGAGTTTATCAGTGGGCAGTGATTTTTGCTTCATGTCAGGCAATTTTACACTGCCGTGTCGCGCCCTGCGGCGCGACATTGTTAATTTCTGATAGTGAAATTGTTTCATCTTCGTTTGACATCCAGATTTGGTACACGATCTCGGTTTAATTGATCCAAAGCTCCAAATTGATCGATTTAGCTCCAAATTAACTTTTGAACTCGGAATCACTTCCCGCAAGGCATAAAACACGTACTAAATGTAATTCACTATCATTTAAGTTCAAACATACGTAAAATGCAGTAATTAGAGTGCAATACTACGGCTAAAACACAAGTTTCTAGCCTAGCATCACCGGCTTCTTAAATATGATCATTTTTGGGAGATCCTATTTCCCAAATTTGAGAAACCCCTAATTTAAGTTTTTGCAAATGTAAGAGTTAAATTTATTGACTATCCATTGATTATCTATTTTTTGAGTAAATAATAAGGATCTTATCTTCTATTTTTAAAAGTTCTTTATTCAAGTTATTTTTTAATGAATAATTATTTTTTTAATTTATTTTGCCCACCACTAGTGTTAGTGTTAGAACGAACTTGAATGATCCCAACTTGAGATCATGTGAACCAACGTCATTTTGATTTTCTCAACTTTGAAGACCTTGCGTAAATGTTGACGTGGTTGGTTCTTCCCTTTTCTTTTCCTTTGTTTGGCCGTCTTAATCATGCACAAGTTCCATTTTAATATATGCATATTTCAAGTGGAGGAACTCGATCTTCTTCTCAAATAATAGTCGTTGAAGATTTATTTATATCTATCAGTATTTCCTTTCTTCCCAGGGAAGAAGATAAATGCTCTTTCTCGAAGGAATTGAACTGTCTAACTTTGAATACCCTGACTCCGAAGCCAAAGACATATAAATAATCAGTGTAGGACATCATGATCGCGAGAGCAAGGACAAAAAAAAATGGTAATATCTGCGCAAGTTGCAATGGACCTGCAAACAATTAATATGGAGTTAGACATTAAACGTTCAAGTGTAACTTACGCAAAGTTTTACGCTATTGATTAATTTTTTGGCATAAAAAATAGTAAAAGAGTTTAAATTGTAAATAAGGACTTCGAAATTGGTTTATATATATAATTATATACTCCGTATATAACTCAAGCTGAACGTTGTAGGTATACCTGGACCATGAACAGTTGGACTTTAGATATATAACCGTCCATGTGAACGTATCCCAGTGGTTCACTATGCTTACCCTTTTCCATCGATAATATTCCCTCCGTTTAATTTTATTTGTTCACTATAATAAAGATAATATTTTTCACGTTTACTTATTAATTTTAGCAAATCGAGAGAATAGATATTTTTCTTATTAATTATTCATTTCTCAACAACCATGCTTCGGACACTGTGTCAATTATACATATTATTTATATATCATCTCTAAGATATGATAAAATACATACTACAGTTATTATCACTTAAGAAACGTATAAAGTCAATTATTAACGAGTAAAAGTGAACGAAAGGGTACTATAACAAGACTACACATCTTTAAATTTCAATAGTACTCTGATTCCTCCGTTCATTTTTACTTGGTACGTTTTGACTTTTCACGCCCCTTAAGAAACAATGATTGGCATGATAATTTTATCACAATAACCCTATTAATTGATACTCAATAATTGAACCCAAATTCGCAAATAACTTCTAAAGAAAAAAAATACGCCAAAAAATAAGAGAATAAAAGATGACTTTAGTGGACTTTATGTTTAACGAAGGGTGATAATGAAGAGTTCTCTGTGAATTTTAATATTGAGTATTGGAAAGCTACAATTGACCATTATTTATTCAAGAAATGTTGGTTAATGAATTAAGGGTAAAACAAGAAAAAAAAAATTATCTTCTCTTTAAATGCGTAAAGTGACGAATAAAAATAAAAATATATTTTTAGTATATCAGCCAAGTAAAAGTGAAACACGGCAATTAATACAATTGGAAAAACAGCAGGAGCAATCAAGTGAAAACAAAAGAATGGCATTGATGTTTGCAGGTAAGAATGTCGGGAGGCATGTGTTAATTATGGTTTGCACATTAATGATAAGATTTGATGACTTACTCAATTTAAGATTTCTTGCAAGCAAGTCTTAATGAATTTTCATTAATTTTAAGGAATATCAATAGTTTACTTTCTAAACTTCTAGAGGTGGAAAGGTCAATAAGGATATTAGTAAGAAGTTAATCTCAGCTAGAATACTCAACAAGAAAAGGAAACGTCAAATGATGTGGAAAATATAACCCTCGGATTTGCCTTCTTTTCTTGAGAAGGTGATCATCAGACTTTAGAGAACGTCTAGAAAGAAATGGAAAATAAACATACGAAGACTTTTGGTGGATAAGATTTTACATTGATTACTAAATACTACTACTACTAGTATATTATTTTTTGTCCCATTTATGTAAAATGAAAGTATGTACTAACACATTACTTTGTAGTCTTGTTATTTTTTATTTGAAATTCTTCTGGAGAAATCACATTCTTAGACTGGCCCGCAAAAACCATCATATTATCTGTCCCTTTTTTTGTCTTGTGGCTGTGCCAAACTTAAGCTTGAAGTCTTTATTTTTTCAGTACTCTTAAAAAGGTGAATTGATTTATCTTTAGTTTTATTGGTTGGTGTTTCTTTTAATAATTGCTAGCATTAATAAAGACTCAAGTCTGTGTATTACTGTACTAGTTGAAGACCAGAAAAAGTAATCTTGCACTCCCTCCATCTTTTATTAATATTCATGGTTACTAAAAATAATTGTCTCGAATTATTTGTCATTTTAGGAGTTCAACATAAAATTAATTATTTTTTTTCTTTTTTATCCTTAGTAATAATTATTCTTGAAGATAGAGATAACACATAATAGAATAAATATTCAATGAAGAGAGATTATATCTTAACACATAAATGAGGGTAGAATAGTCTAATTTCTTTTCTAATTAATTTTTCTTAAAAGGCGTATAAAAAAAATACGACATATAATATGAGACGGATGAAGCAGTAGTATTCTGATTTGTGGGACATATGATAACAGTAATGCCAAAACTTTAGCACCTGACAAAGTTGGATCCAACGGGACAATAATGACAGTTTAAAAGATACGTAGCTCTTATTCCCTTCCTTTTACAAAATAAAAATCCAAAAGCTTTCTTTATTTTCTCTAAAACACAATTATTTGCGTCTTTATTCTGAAATCATTCTTTGGTTTATTACTGTTTTCTTTCTTCTCCAATTTTCTTTTTGCGGTACATAGTCATCCGTTCATTCAACAATGGTCCTTAGCATCATTGCAAAAGCTTCCACTATATATTTTGGAAAATGTGCAAAGTGCCCCTGTGATAGTTATGCTAGTGTTTTTTGAATAAGATGTTACTACTAGATTTTATTTATTTATTATTGGACTTACTGAAAGATGGTATATATCAACATTCAAACCTATTTTTTTGGGGTTGGCCCCGGTACTTAACGTCATGTTCCTTTCA